AGGGGGGGGACACCTCACATGCACCCACGCGCCCGGCATCGCAGCGCCGGGGCAGAGCTCGCCTCCCCCCCGAGCCTTCCGAGCAATTTTTTTTTTTAATTGCGACCTTCTCCCTACCCCCGAAAGCTGCTAATCGAGCGGCTTTAATTTTTTTTTTCTTTTCTATTTTTTAAGATCCGTTTTCTGAAGGTTAGTTTCGAGTAAAGGATGACTTCTTCCCGCTCTCCCTCGTCTCCCCCTCTTCCTTTCTCAAACTCCCGGCCAAAATCGGGAAGAGTTCAAAGAAAATGATAGTGTCATTTCAGATCAGCTGCATCCGGCTTGTCCGCCCGGGGCAGGGCAGTGGGGCTCCTGGAGCCACTGAAATTTGAAAGCTCTCCGTTTTAAAACTGGAGCATGTAGGTACCTATGGGTTTGGTAGGGCTTCTGCCTGAATGGGGACACACACACATTTAGAAAAGGAATCGTATTATGGTGGCATCCCAATCCTCAATTCTTAGAGACAGCAGGTCTAGGTAACTGCTAAAAAAATAAGACGGCTGTTACATACGCATTTTCCACGCTACTGCTTCTCTGAGAAGCGCTCCTCGGGTTTGGTAGCCGACTGCTACGTTTCCCCCAGAATTGGCTGTTTCACCCCATACCACCGGCGGGATATGCTGTCCGGAGTGGAGCTTTGTTAGCAAACACCCAAACCGAACCCCCCCACGGCTGGCAGCCGGCACCGACGGAGGAAAAGGGCATCACTTTCCCAATTCTTACCTCCCCGCGCTTGATTTTTAATTTCCCGAACTGCAAGCGGACACCGCGCTGTTTGTCAGGATTTTTTTCCCCCGTGTAAGCAGCGAGGGACCTGGTTAATCATCTATCGCAGATACATGTGCATGAGAAAGAAAAGTGTTGAGGTTTGCTTGTTCGGGCTGATGGGAATGGCCCACGAATTTAGGATTAAATTACTAATGGTAATCATAAGTCTTTGTTTCCTCTCGCTCCCTCTCTCTTTTCTGCGGGGATTGTCAAAGTAAAGAGTGCAACATTCTTTGGACAAAGTCTGCACAGCAGCTTTGCAGTATAAAATAAGCTCTTGTACCCTCCTGGGTTAACTGGGATCTCTTCAGGTTTATCCTGAACCGGTTAAGAGCGGGGCAAACCCCAGTCCTAACTTTAGGCACGTTTTCACAGGTGGATCTGTGACAAGGGAGTGGAGCAACACTTCAGAAGGGTAGGTTTTTGGGGGGGGTATTTTTCTT